TTGTACTTATGTAGTATTAGTTGTAATGTTTTCTCATTCATTTTTTATTTCATTTATTTAAATATCTCTTTTTTCTTAGTCTCATTGGTGGTTTGCCAATTTTATCTCCTCAACAAAATCAACTGCTAGTTTGATTGACCTTTTCTATTGTTCCCCTAATCTCTATTTCATTTATTTCTGCACTGATCTTTGTTATTTCTTTTCTTTTGCTGACTTTGGGGTTAGTTCCTCTTTTTTGAGCATGCCTGCCTGTCTCCTCCCTTCCTCCTCCTTCACCTCTTCCTCCCCCCCCTATTATTTCATGAATTCCTTGGGGAACAGGTTCCAGCCCCTCAGGCTCCTTTCCTTGGCTCTCAGCAAGTGTGCTTCTCTGGGCACAGTGGGCGGGGGCTCCAGTGGAGCTCCAGTACCTTTCTCTTTGGTTCTCTTCTTTTTCTTATTATTTTCCTTTATGCATTTCAGGAATCTGTTTTGCTCTAAGTGCTTAATGTGCTCAATATGCACATTTATTTTCTTGGCAATAATCTTGCCCTTCACTTGCTTGTTTACAACAGTGCCCACGGGGTGCTGGTGACATGGGTTTGCTGCAGTGACAGTTGTGGGGCATTCCTTTTGAACAGTACCCATCCTCTTGATGTCTGTAATGTCACTCTTGTAGACACACATGTATGTGGCTAAAGGAACCACTCTATTATGTTTCCCGAAAGGCCGAACATGTGACAGGTGCCTATTTTTGCTCATTTTGGCAAATTACTAGAAGATGGTGGCTTTGGCTAAAAGGAAAAAAAATCGATTTCTATTTCCTGAGTTATAAACCTAGGTTAATCCTTTGAGATCTTTCTTCTTCTTTAATGTAGGTATTTATTGCTATAAATGCGCTCTTAGAACTGCTTTATCTATATACAATATTTTGAGATGTCAGGATGTATTGTGTAATTTCCACTTATTTGTGAATTTTCCTCTTACTAATTTATAGTTTTATACCATTGTGTTTGGACAAGATACTTGATTTGATTTTAATCTTCTTGAATTTGTTTAGGATTTTTTATTATTAATTTTTTATTAAATTTTTAAAAATTACATTTATAAGAATGATCTTTGGGGGCTGGGGCTGTAGCTTAGTGGTAGAGCACTTGCCTAGCATGTGTGAAGCACTGGGTTCGATCCTTAGCACCACATAAAAATAAACAAATAAAATAAAGGCATCCTGTCCAACTACAACTCAAAAAAAAATGCTATTTGGAAAATCTTGCCCACATCCTGTGTGGGCAGTGGAATTTGGGTTGGCTGTAAACTAAAGCTAAGGGCCAAGAAACCACAGGACACAGGAAGTGATTTTAGAAAGTGGGGGTGGGTCGGCTCTTGGATCTTAGGGATGGAGCTTCCACATTGGAAAGAGAGTGAGAGGCTGTGCTTGCTTTGTTTCTATGGGAAAGCATCAAAATTTTCCATGGAATGTTCTTTGCCAAATAAGGTAGGAAGTGGGCTGTCACGTTTCCAACAGGTTACTCTCAACTCCAGACCTATGAGTGGTCTCCCTACTTGAGTGAAGACAGAGGTCAAGTGCATTGCACAATCCATTGAGTGAGAGGAGCCACAAAATAGTTTGCAACATCAAACCTAAATTTCCCTGGCTCAAGGCCGAGTGAAGATGCTCAAATAATTCACAGATAGCATCTCACAGGAGTATGTTCTATGTGTTCTTGTAAAGAATGTGTATTCTGTTGCTATTGGATGGAATGTTCTGTAGATGTCGTGTTCCACGACTAAACACTCAAGGTCACCCCAGGTGAACTGGCACGAAATAATCCCACAGAGACAGAGAAATACCTTTTTTTTTTTTTTTTTTTGGGTCCTGTGGCGGCCCCTCTGACCTCAGGGGTCTGTGGAAAGAGAGAGAGGAGCATGTGCAGAACCCTTTTATTGGGAAAAAGCCATTCAAATGAGGCAAGGGGTAGGATTACAAAGGAACAGGTGAGTGTAGCTCAGCCCCAGCTGGTATACTTACACCTGAAGATCCACCTTGCTGTCCGAGCTGGGACAATGCCCAGATCATCACAAAGTGTAGTTATTGGTCAGAGCCTTGTGCTTCAGGAGTGGAAAGCATGGTCATTCAGAGAGGCTCCCCACAGATGTCTGTTAGGTTTATTTGGTCCATAGTGTTGTTCAAGTCCACTGTGTCCTTACTGATATTCTTTATGGACCCTCATTGTTGAAAGTGGAATATTAAGAGTAAAGTCACTTAGTATTATTGTGTTGCCATTTCTCCCTTCAGTTTTGTAAACATTTGCTTCACATATTTAGATTTAATTCTTTTTCTTTTTTTTTTCAGTGCTAGGGATTGAACCCAGGGCCTCACACATGCCAGGCAAGGTGCTCTGCCACTGACCTACACCCACAGCCATCTATATTTAAGTTTTCTGATATTGGATATATATTGACAATTATTATGCCCTCTTGATGGATTGTTCCCTTTATCATTACATGATAATTCCTTATGACCATTTTTGATGTAAATCTATTTGTTTGATATATGTATAGCCATTCCTGCTCTTTTTAGTTTCTATTTCCACTGAATATCTCTTTTCCATCCCTTCACTTTCAGCTTATAAATGTCCTTAAAGTTAAATCAAGTCCCCTGCAGGTGCATATAGTTGAATTTAGTTTATTTATCCATTCGGGCACTCTCCGTCTTTTGATTACATCCTCTAAGAAATTGTTGTAGTTATTTTAATACTTTTCAATTTAATTCTACAGTAAAAAGTGATTCTTGTACTAACATTACAGTTTTAGAGTATTCTGAATTTGACTATATTTTTGCCCTTATGATGAGTTTTTATGTTTTAGTGTTAGGATCTTTCCATTTCGACTTGATGAACTCCTTTTAGCATTTCTTGTGAAGCATGTCTAGTGGTGACAAATTCCCACAGCTTGTTTGTCTCGGATTATCCTCTTTTCTTCCTTATTTCTGAATCATAGATTTGCCAGGTATAGTATCCTTGATCAGTAGTCCCCTCACCTTCAATACTTTGAATATATCCTTCTAGTCTCTCCTGGCCTGCAAGATTTCTGCTAAAAAATATTCTTACAGATATATTTTTATGGGTACTCTTATGGATTTTCCTTTTTATGTGATGATTTTCTTTTCTCCTCTTGCTTTCCAATTTTTCTTTTGTTTTTTACTTTTGAGAATTTAATTATAATATGTGTCAATGGAGATCTGTACTTATTTGGAGTTCTTTGGGCTTCATGATTTTGGATGTTCAATTTTCTCTCCAGATTTGGGAGTTTTCTGTCATTATTTCTTTTTTTGTTTTAATTTTATTTTTACTGGTTCTTTGTAGTTATATATAACAATAGATTCCTTTTTGGCATAATTATAAGAGCATGGAATATATCCTGTTCTAATTTAGTACCCTGTACCTCTCCTTCTCCTTCCCTTCCCCCTCCCCTGCTCCCTTCCCTCTACTCTACTGATTGTTCTGCCACTTATCCATAGTTATTTTTTAAAATTTGATTTCTTGTAGGTGTACACAGTGGTGAGATTCACTGTGGTATATTCGTATATGTACATAGGAATGTTATGTCAGATTCATTTCACTGTCTTCTCTGATCCATCTTTCCTCCCTTCCCCTCTTCATTCCCCTTGTCTACTCCACTGATCTTCTATTCTTTTTTTTTAACCCCCCTGCCCTTTATTGTGTGCTATATCTGAGAAAACTCAGCCTTTAGCTTTTTGGGACTGGCTTATTTTAGTTAGCACGATAGTTTCCAGATCCATCCATTTATTGGCAAACATCATAAAGCCATTCTTCTTTAGGGCTAATACTCAACTGTGTATACATACCACATTTTCTTTATCCATTAATCTGTTGAAGGGCACCTAGTTTGGCTCCATAGCTTAGCTCTTATGAATTGTGCTGCTGTAAATATTGATGTTGCTGTGTCACTGTAGTATGCTGATTTTAAATCCTTTGGATATATACTTATTAAAGTTATTTCTTTAAATAAGCTTTTCCTTTTTTCTTACTCTGTGTTCCTCTGGGGCACTCATAATGCATATACTAGTTCCTTGGTGGTAATCTCACAGTTCCTGTTGATTCTCTTTATTCTGTTGTCTTTTTGTTTGGTTGACTAGGTAATTTCAAATAACTTGTTTTCAATCTTACTGGTTCTTTGTTATTTCCTCACTGATTGACTCTTTTATTGGTGCTATCTATAGAGTTTTTCAGTTTAGTCATTGAGTTCTTTAGTTTCAGAATTTTTGGTTCTTTCACTTTCTCCCTTCCTTTTTTTTTTTTAATGGTTTCTATATCTCTTTCAACCTCTGAAATTTTGTTAGTTATCTATCTATCTGCATTCTCTCTCTCTCTCTCTCTCTCTACCAGGGAAGAACCCAGAGGTGCTTAACCACTGAGCTACATCCTCAGCCATTTTTTATTTTGAGACAGGGTCTTCTTAAGTTGCTCAGGACCTTGCTTAAGTTGCTCAGGCTGGCTTTGAACTTTCAATCCTCCTGTCTCAGCCCCCTGAGTTCCTGGGATTACAGGTGTGTACCACCATGCCCAGCTATCTGTGCTCACTTAAAGCTCACTGAAGTTCTTTAGGTTGATTAATTATTTGTTAGGTAGTTTGTAAATCATCATTTGTTTAGGATCTGTTATTTGTGTTTTGTTTTTTTCCCCTTAATTCCCTTTGCTGTTGCTCATGATCCTTGTGGCCATGCGTTGGAGTCTTCACATTTGAAGAAGTAGGCTTGTCGTCCAGTTTTTCACAGACTAGCTTCAGCAGGGAAAGCCCTGGAATGGTAATCTGTCCCAGAGGTCTGGGCAGGTCATCTGGTGGGGCCCATGTGTGGATTGGCTGCTGGAGTCCTTGAGCAGGCTGGCCTGATGCCTGGGTTCATGAGTTAGGGCTTAGGGTTTGGGAAGGCCTGGATTCTGGGTTTATGGGAGCTGTCCTGTGCTAGCATCCCTTGGGATGGACCTTTCACTGGGTCCATGGGGGAGGTCTGTAAGCCCATATCTGTGGCAGCTGGCCTGAAGCCTGGGTGTATAGGCACTGACCTGACATCGGAACAGGGACTGGTGGCTGGGTCCATGGGGATCGGCCTGGATCCCGAGTCCTCAGGGACTGGCCTGGCACTGCAGTGGGCCTTGACCCTGAGTCTCTGGTTGGGGGAGCAGTGGAGCAGTCTGGGCCTTGGCTTAGTGAGGCTGACCTGGTACTTGGAGGCACATGGGCTGGTCTTGAGCCTGGGTCTGTGGGGGTCATTCTGGAGCTGGTTGTGTGGGTGCCATCTCAAAGTCTGGGATAGTAAGAGACAACCTGGAGCTGGGGCATGCTGGTGGCTGGGTCTATAGTTACTGGCCTATTATCTAGGTTTTCCTGGGTGGGCTGGCACTTAAGCAGGGAAGGAGCTAGGGATGTTGTCAGATAGTGGGGTTGGTCCGGAGCTTGGGTCAATGGGGCTGGCCAGGAGGAGAGGTGGATCTGGAGGCTGAATCTTTAGGGTTTCAATCTAGGACCTGGGCTATGCCTGGCTCTGAGCATAAGGTGCCAGCTTGATTCTGGGGTGGATCTGGAGATTGAGTCTGTGGGCCTTGGCTTGAAGTATGGGCTTTCAGGGGCCAGCCTGGAACTGACTGTGCTGGAGGCTTGGTCTATAGGAGTAGGTATATGTCCTGGGGCTTCAGTGGCAGGCCTGAGCTTTCCATGCTGTCCTGCAGTCTGGGGACTTGGGGTGGCCTGACACTGAGGCAGGACTGAAGCCTGGGGCCACTGAGGCCAGCCTGGCTCTGGGGCAGGCCTGGAGCCTGAGGGTGTAGAGCTGGCTTGGTGCTGAGGTAGGGCAGAGTGAGGCTGGAAGCTGCAGTTGAAGGCATTTGGGGCAAAAGCAGCAGAAGGAAAGAAATAGTGCAGAGATAAATGACGTAAGAATCCATGAATCCCCAAGTTAGTGCCTTGAAAATGTCAACAAATTTGGCAAACCTTTAGCTAATCTAAGAAAAAAAGAGAGGACATAGAAAGAATTAAACTCAGATCATAAAGTGTGGCCATATTCCCCAACTTTAGAGAAGTTAAATAGATTATAAGAGAATATGTGAATGATTTTACAGTCAATAGTCCAGATGCATTTTTTTTTTCCTGAATTCCTCTTCTTCTTCCCCTTCCCTGCCACCACTCTTCTCTTACTCTACTGAAAAGTTCTCTTAACTGTAACCCTTCCCCACTGTTTCCATTTTTTTTTCCTTTTCTTGAGGTGCCAGGGATTGAACCTGAAGCCTCACGCATGACGTCCAGTGGCCTGCCACTGAGCTCTATCCACGGCCCCCCTTTTTTCCACTCTTGGGAAATCATTATCCCTAGAGTATCTATTCTGAAGTGATCATTAAAAATGCGGATCTTGTGATATCACTCTATAAAGCTCATCTGATATTTTGCTATTGAGCTCATAATCCAAACTTCCGATCCTCATAAAACCTTTCCTGACTCTCAGTCTCGGGTCTTCAGATCTCTTCTTTGGTCAATCTGCTCCAGCCGTGGTTATTCTTTCCATTCTATGTGCAGGTCAAGCTAGATTCTGTATTGGAACCTTTGTACACACCCTTCCTCTGTCCAGAACATTCCCTGTCATCCTTCATGACCCTGTGTAATTGGCCCTTCCTAGGGGCCTATCTTGATGAGTAACTCCCACCCCGTAACTCCTCCAAACCACCATTATTCCATCACGTTATCCTAAGTGTTCATCAGGGTTCTTCCAAACAACAGAAATCAGCGGACTAATTGGAAATGTGCATCAGAGACTAGCAAGTGTCCTCCGATCTTTGAGGGCCCAAATGACTAGGCTTTGAGACTCTTCATCCAGGAACCACATCCCAAGTCACACCATCAGAGCTGGTCCAGTAGAAGTTGGCTTGTCCCTTCTGGCAGAGACTTCACAGCTCACACTCCAGTGTCATGGACCTGGACACTTGCCCTGCTCCAAAACAGTTGTCACCATTGCTTCAGGTCTGACTGCTGCGTGGGTTTCACATCAGCAGTACAGAGCTTGTGGCCTTGCTCTTTTGATGTGACTAGCTTGCATTTGAAAGTCTGGGTCTGGTGCATGTGATTGGGGAGCATATGTTGTGTGCTGTCTTATCTGTGAAGGAATCTGTCTTATCTATGAGTGTCTGGCATTTTAAGCTTCTGTAGTAGGAGATAGTCTCTGACTTATCAGGCAGAAAATTCTCAGATTTTTGAGAAATTTTAGTGCTAGGCAAGGGATCTGTGCTGCATTTTTAAAATTTTCTTCATTGCACTTAAAATATCTGAAATTATTTTTTGTCTTCACTTGCAATTTATTCAAACAAAATCCCCATGGGGACAGAGATCTGCTCTGCTTGCTTGTCCTCACCTCCCAGCAACCTCAACAGTGCAAAGTGCATGAAACATTTTTTTAAATGAAGTTGAGCTGAGAGCCCAAGGGATAAACATTTGTACCAAACAAGCGGAGCTTCAAGAAAGAGAAAACTAGTCACATGTCAAATGTCAGAAGAATACGACTGAGGAGTGAAAACTGGATTTGATAAATAAGGGTTTATTAGTGACCTAATCCAGGGCAATTTCAGAGGACTGTCAGGCCAGAGGCCACACTGCAGTGGGTTGAGGAAAAATGTCAGCAGCTGAGAAAGCTGAAACAAGCTTTAGACAAATGGACTGTTGGAGTATCATTTACCAACTTTGATATTGTCAATTTCCTTTTCCTGGAATTAGACCAAGGCCCCTGTTGGGTGCAAGCTTGCATTTGAACCGTTTTCATTTATTAAATTAGAAGCTCCATGGGATGGAAATAGAAGCTCCGCCCTGCTTGTTGTCTTTGCACCTCAGCAAGAGAAGGAAAGAGCCAGAGTCCAGGAGGGGGACAGACGTGTGGCTGGAATCAAAACTGCCACATTCTAGGCAAGATCAACACCCAAGGGAGTCCCCTCTGCAACTTTGGCTCCCTCTCTGTAAATATCCATGTGACGTGAAATCCATGTGCAGATACAACGTGCTGTTTTCTTTTGCTAACTCAGCTCTTCCTTTAGCAGGTTTCCAGACTGTCAGAGACCCCAGCCCTTCCTGCACCTTGAACAGGGTCGTGGGGGAATCTGTTCAGTTGCCCCTGAACCACACTTTGAGCCCTGACATCCGGGAGATAGAGTGGAAGTGGAATACTGAGGCCGAGCAGCAGCAGCTCCTGGTGTCCTGGAAGCCCTCGGGTCCGGAGTGGTATGAATTTGAAGGCAAATACAAGCACAGATTCTGCCTGACTGAGAAGTATATTTTGAACATTTCGAATCTCACCGTGGAAATGAGTGGACTGTATGTAGCGGAAATCAAATACAACACAGGAAAATCCCAGAAGAAAGATTTTAGACTCTGCGTCCATGGTGAGTCGGGTTCCACGCCCAAGCAGGCTTTCCAACAGCCATGTTGCTAAAGTAAGTTGGCCTTAAATCAGGTGACGAAAAAACCCAAAACAAAAAATAAACTAGATCCTTTTTAGGACATCTTCTGATGTCCTAAAAATAAAAACTAAAATTCAAAGATACATCTTAGGGAAAACTAGCTGAAGTTCTTAACATTTATACAAAATGCACATGAAATGGCATTTTTACTGGCACTGGGAGTCACCCAAAAATTAAAAAAAAAAACAACTTTCTTCAGTCATGAGATACTGTAAAATTGATTATTAGAATTATAAAGGTATATTAAAAAGTCTTTAATTGACTGTTTCAAGAACTGATTTAAAAATTCTGTGACTGAGATAAACCCCCAAACTGGACATTGAAAAAATGAAGGAAAAAAAATACCCATTGAAAAGGAGACTAAGGTTAGAAATGATCATGAAGTAAAATGACTTTATTTTAATTTTTGGTACCAGGGATTAAACTCAGGGTGCTTTACCACTGAGGCACTTCCCCAGCCCTTTTTATTTTGAGATGAGGTCTTGCTATGTTGCTTGAGGCCTTACTAAGTTGCAGGGCTGCCCTTGGATTTGTGATCTTCTTGCTTCAGCCTCTGGAGTTGCTGGGATTATAGGTGTGTATTATCATGCCTGGCTTGGTAAAATGGTTTTGGATAAATTGATATGAAGTACAACTGTCAAATTTTCAAAAGAAAACTCTGTCCTAGAACCAGGTTGAAGACGCAGAGAGTGACCCAGCCTTTGTGTCCTACATCTCCCGGGCCAACAAACAAACCAACATTCTTCCCCATGAAGCAGAAGTACGGGGCAGAGGAGCAAGTGTGAGAACAGTGAGAAGAGGGAGTAGAATCAAGTGCATCCAATGGCCAGAGCACTCTCCATTGGTTGGCTCTGTCTCCGCCCATCCTCCATCCCCGCTAGTGGGTCACTGCAGCCATCTCCCAACTGGTCTCTCTGCCTTTGTTCTCTTCCCTCTTTCCAATCACCTCCCACACAAATACTGTTTCTATCTTATAAAAATGCAAATATTCACCGGGCATTGTGGTGCACGCTGTGATCTCAGTGACACCAGGTACCAAGGCAGGAGGATTGCAAGTTTGAGGTCAGCCTGAGCAACCTAGTTGTGGGAGACCAACCTCGCACGTGACTGAGTTAACTTCCCTGCAGGGTGATGTGGCATCAGGCGACACCTATGCTGCTAGACAGCCCCACCCTTCTCGGGTTTGAGGGACTGTGTCTTCTGCAAGGGTGTGCCTTTCTACATCCCCATGGGAGGAGCTATGCTCACCTGTTTCTTTGTAATATAACCCCTTGCCCTGTTTAGGATAGAATGTTCTATGGAAACACATTTTGTGTGTCCCCTTCTCTTACTGGGCCCTTGGGTGTGGCCTTCCTAGATGTCAGTCAACCTGCTGACAGCAGACATCATGAAGCTAGACTCAGCCCCCTGAAACCTGACCCCTTGCCTCATTTGAATAGTTTCTCTTCAATAAAAGGGGTTGGCATGTGTGGGCCCTCTCTCTCTTTTCTCTTTCTCACTCTTAATGTCAGAGGAGCCGTCACAGCAACCCCAAAGAAAAAGGTATTTCTGTCTCTTGTGTGGTTATTTCATGTAGCCCAGTTCCCCTGGAGTGACCCCTGAGTGTGTTAGTCATGAAGAACCCGGCAAGTGGCGTCCCTGGCTGGGCACAAGGTCTGAGTGTTTAAGTCGCTGGGAAAGAAAGCCACAAATGGTGGCCCATACGGGGACTCCAGTATAAATATTAAAAATTTAGTGAGTTAAAAGTTCTATCCAGAAGTTAAGCATGCTTAGGATTGCAGAGTATTGTGGGATGAATTGTAGAAGGTCAGTGAATTAGACAGAAGGAAAATCTGTGATGTTAAACTAGTCTGTAACTAGTCCCACGGCCAGCAGTGCTTTTAACCCTTAAATGACCTGACCTAAATGCAGACTCCTTTAAGATCTGATAGTAACACTGGCATCTGCCACTAAAACTCACTTTTAAAGCACCCACATGCTACAAAAAAAAAAAAAAAAAAAAAAAAGTACAAAATACCAGCAGACACAAGCTGCAACCGCAGGTCACAGAGACAAGGCAAGCTGCTACTCGCCATAGGATCCTGACCAGGTGGGGAATGCAGATGAAACCAAATGCCACCAGCTCGGAAAACTCAGGGAACTTTTGCCCCGACAATGGGCAACAGGCTCCATGCTGTTTCCGTCATCTTGGTAACCAGGTGATGCCTGTCCGCAGGGGGGGCTTCCTGGTCCTGCCTCCTGCATTTTCCTGGGCTTCCCATTGGTTCTTCCACAGTCTCTCAGACAGGACTTCTGGTCCCGCCTTCCAGCCACTAACCTGTACTTCCTGTTTCAGACCTGCCTGAGCTGCTACCTGAGCTGCTCAGAGTGTACATTTTTAGGAATGCCAACCTGTAAATGCTAACGAAAAATATCTTTTTCAGGCAAAATATTAATTCCACAGGTTTCTGTGTTGCAGCCCTAAATTTGAGTTAGTTTTGAGTTAAATAACCTGACTTTTCTCTATAATTGTGTTACTAAATAATGTTCTATTGATGAGAGATACTAGACATACTTCTTTATATTTTACCTTTAATTTTGGAGGTTGTGGGGATGCATTTGCTCGCCATAGGAACAAAAGCTGGCAATGTTTCTGTGATGAACAAAAAATTCTTATTCTCATTCCTGACTATATGATTACAAGAAATAAAAATGTATACGTAAATATCTTATTTCAGTTACATCAAGTGACTTCACATAGAAGAGTGCACTCCTAATTAAAAATAAATTAAAATGGATCCAAAGATTTTAAGAACCACGTGGTTATATAAAGTTAATACAATTATAAATTATGCCTTTATTCTTAATATATATATTTTCTAGGTATTTAAATAACCTATAGTTGTTAACCTATAAAATAATTAGCATATATGTCTAATTGTTTAGTGTGTATATATATATATATATATATATATATATATATATTTGTTCAATTGTTTTTCTTCAACAGAAAACCCATAATTTGTATGTTTTATATGTATATTTATCTGATACTCTGCCTTTTAGTTATAGATATTTGAGATAAATGTATTTTACTATAAATTTGCTTTTAAAAGAGAATACAACTTTCAAGTAATTTCTAATTTTTCAAAGTAATTATACAAATTTTTATAAGATGATAAACAAATATAATTCTGTCTACAGAAATATCTAAGAACTTTCACTATATTTTCATTGATATTTCTTATCAAAGTACAATAATTCATTTAGATTCTAAGATTTTCAAAAATTGTTCCAAAGTATAACCAGAAAAAATTCTAGAAGAAAAAGGTGCTTCAACAGAGAGGAAACACACATTGGAGGTCCTAAAAAGAAGAAAGAAATCATCTTTGGGTAAAACAAGGTCTTTATATTCTAGATTTTAATGATAAAAATATTTTCCTGAATAAAAAGATGCCGCAGTCTGGCTGGGCAAAATAACCAGGAGGTGACAAGCAACTTGAAGGTTGAAGCAGGAACTGCTTTATTATGGAGCAGCAGGGGTATATATACCTGATTACATACAGCTTGACTCAATTAGCATCATCCAGATACAGCAATCAGCCAGTAAGGAATCCCCACCATCTTAATGGCTCAGTGGCATTGCCTAACAAACCACTTCTCCTGGCAAACTGCCAGGTGCCATCTTGACTTGATTTGCATCCCCAACAAAAATATTTTTTATATCATTATCTAAACAGATGATATGGAAAATCAAAACAATTAAAAAAGAGATTTATATGTACTGGACTCACTATAAAAATTTTAACTGGTTAATTCAAGGACATTTCAAGCTATTTTTCTAATTTCTCCCTGAGCCATGCTTCATATTTGCTACTCGTCACCTCACTCTAATGGCCCTTCCTCTCCTTGATCTGCTGGTGGCCCTCCAGGGAAGAATAGCCACCTCCCACAGTCCCCTGCATTACAGGCAGCCTTTCACTGGGAGGGAGTGGGAGAAGGGTGAGGGACTCCAACATGGCAGATGGGAAGGCTTTTAAGAAGAGACTGGGTTGACTGGATTGAGTGTCCAATATGTGTTTCTAGTCAGTGAGTGGTGGAGAGTACACCAGCCATCTCCGTGACCTCTAGATCTTGATGCCTGCTTTGGCTTTAACTCTCCTCCTTGGCTGATAATTTTTCTGCGTAGCTTTCTGAGTGACAAAACATTGATATGTCTCATCCTATCCCTGTGGCACCATTGGTACCTGCTTGAATTAGGTCAGTATAGAGGGTTTTCTCCATATGGATGCATAGATCTCTTAGGATATAAGATCTGTAAAGGAATTCCTTTGGTTCTTCTACTCAAAAACTAGAACTAGAAAGCAGATGGCGCTGTCTCTGTGAGGGGCCACAATAGGCTGCCATCTTCCCTGCCCCCCCATCTTTATTCCCTTGGGCTTCTCCACATAGTAGGGATGATGTCCTTTTGTAGTTATGGCTTCCACATAATCAGAGAGCAAAGGGATTTTCCTGGCCCCGTCCACATAGACAGCTGGAAGAAAAGGTTCTCATTGGTGAGGTTGGAACCCATGACCACCCCTAGATTGTGCATTGGCTGGTGGAATCGCACACTCCGCCTGGCAGATGGATGCATGCTTTCCTCTGTCACTAGATTCAGAGTGCTGTGGTTGACAATCATAAAACCACACAAGGTTGGAGCAGAAGGGAGCTGCCAGAAAAAGGAGAAGTGCCACTAACTGATTTCCCTTTGGTCCACTTTCCACTCCCTACTCCACCACTGCTCCGATCAGACCTTCCAACAACTCCCCCATTCCTCACTGCCTGTGCACCCGTCTCAGTGTGAGAGAGGCCTCTGTGAATCGGAGTCATCTTTACTCCCGTGTTTCTAGGCAAACATTTTTAACTCATCGATTGGCTCTCTTTCTCCCTTTCCTCTGGGCTTTCAGAACACCATGTCCTAAATCAAGATTTTCCTGATCCTTTTCATCCTGAAATGAACTTTTCCATTATCAAGTCTCAATATTGATGTTTTTCTAATTCCCTTTTGGATGTTGTTTCTCTCTGCCTTGTGCTGGAGTTATTTGTGTGTGGTCCACTCTCCACCCAAGAGCAGAGTTCGTGTCCTGCTCTCTTGGGCATCCACCTTGTGTCTTGAGCAGCACCAGTGAGTGTTCAGAAAGTATTTCCTTAGAGCTCATGTCAAGAAGGGAGACCAGTAGAATAGAAGAAGGGGGTGAGGGCAAGGGAGGGGGGAAGGGAAAGGGAGGTACTGGGAAGGAAATGGGTCAAATTATGTTATGTGCAAGTATGAATATGTCACAACAAATCCCATTAATATACGTAATTACAATGTGCCAATTAAAAATTTTAAAATAAAGTACTCCTTTAACCAAACAGATTGAAGCAATATTTAAAGGATACTGACAGATACCTAAGTTTTCTTAAGTTTTCAAAAAATTCAACCTTGATTCATTCTTTCATCCATTGAAAAGAGCATATAATAAAAAAATCATATAAACAAATTGCTGCGTGAGTATTTTAAATACCTAAGAGTGTCAGCTTTCAAAATACTCCTGTATGTCTCAGAACACTTTGTAGTACATATTTCATTTTGCTTTATATTTAAACTATTATCTCTTCATGAAGTCAGCTGCTTTAAAATAAACTTAATTTTTTTTACACAAATGGAGCACAGCTTTTCATTTCTCTGGTTGTATGTTATGTAGAGTTATACCATTCATGCAATCATACCCATACATAGGGGTAATAATGTCCATACCATTCTACCATCCTCTCCCCTCCACACATCCCTCCCCTTTCTCTCCTCTGCTCAATCCAAAGTTCCTCCCTGCTTCCCTTGTCCCCTGCCCATTATCAGCATCCACTTATCAGAGAAATCATTTTGCCTTTGTTTTTTGGGGATTGTCTTACTTCGCTTAGTATGGTATTCTCCATTTCCATTCATTTACCCATAAATGCCATAATTTAATTCTTTTAAAGGCTGAGTAGTATTCCATTGTGTATATATACCACAGTTTCTTTATCCATTCATCTATTGAGGGCATCTAGACTGCCTCCACAGTTTAGCTATTGTGAATTGAGGTGCTATAAACATTGAGGTGGCTGCATCACTGTAGGGTGCTGCTTTTAAGTGTTTTGGGTGTAGACTGAGGAGTGGGATAGCTGAGTCAAATAGTGGTTCCATTCCAAATTTTCTAAGGTATCTCTGTACTGCTTTCCAAAGTGGTTGTACCATTTTGCAATCTCAACAGTCATTAATCAGTGTTATCTTTTTCCCCACATCCTTGC